ATGTTATCATTTGTTAGGTGACGTCGAGTCGTTTCCAACTCATAGCGACCCTATGTACAACAACAGAATGAAACACAGCCCGGTCCTGTGCCCTCCTCATAATCATTACGCTTGAGGCCATTGTTGCAGCCACTGTGTCAGTCCATCTGGTTGAGGGTCTTCCTCTTGTTTGCTGACCCTCTACTTTACCAAGCATGATGTCCTTCTCCAGGGTCTGGTCCCTCCTGAACATGTCCAAAGTATGTGAGACAAAGTCTTGCCATCCTCTCTTCTAAGGAACATTTTGGCTGTACTTCCTCCAAGACAGATTTTTTCGTTCTTTTGGCAGTCCATAGTGAATTCAACACTTTTTGCCAACATCATAACTCAAAGGCTTCAGTTCTTCTTTGGTCTTCCTCATTCATTGTCCAGCTTTTGCATGCATATGAGGTGATTGAAAACACCATGGCTTGGGTCAGGCGCATCTTAGTCCTTAAAGTGACATCTTTGCCTTTTAACACTTTAAAGAGGTCTTTTGCAGCAGATTTGCCGAAGCAATGCGTTGTTTGATTTCTTGACTGCTGCTTCCATGGACATTGATTGTGCATCCAAGTAAAATGAAATCCTTGACAATGTCAATATTTTCTCCATTTATCATGACGTTGCTTATTGGTCCAGTTCTGATGATTTTTGTTTTCTTGATGTTGAGGTGTAATCCATACTGAAGGCTGTAGTCTTTGATCTTCATTAGTAAGTGCTTCAAGTCCCCTTCACTTTCAGCAAGCAAGGTTGTGTCATCTGTACAATGCAGACTGTTAATGAGTCTTCCTCCAATCCAAAGCAAATATATATGTATATATACATATATATACACACGTAAGTATACATACATATCTATATATTTGCTTTCCTCCTTTTTTTAAGCACCAGCAAATTGCTTCCTGATCCTAGCTCTCTGCCACGAGTGGCAGCATTAATGATTTTGCCAGTATGCTGGGGGCTTTCACTTACCAAAGCCACTATAGGGGATGTCCTTCCTCTATTGTCTGACAAACTCCCACGTACTCTGTACATAAGGGCACTATCTTAGTCATCCAGTGCTGCTGTAACAGAAATTCCACAAGTGGATGGCTTTAACAAAGAGAAATTTATTCTCTCACAGTCTAGTAGGCTAGAAGTCCAAGTTCAGGGCATCAGCTCCAGGGGAAGCATTTCTCCTTCTGTCGGCTCTGGGGGAAAGTCCTTCTCATCAATCTTCCCCTGGACTAGGAGCTTCTCTGCGCAGGAACCCCAGGTCTAAAGGACGCACTCTGCTCCTGGCACTACTTTCTTGGTGGTATGAGGTCCTCCCTCTCTGCTCACTTGCCTATCCTTTTATCTCTTGTAAGATAGAAAGGTGGTGCAGGCCACACCCCAGGGAAACTCCTTTTACATTGGATCAGGGATGTGACCTTAGTAAGGGTGTTACGATCCCACCCTAATCCTCTTTAACATAAAATTACAATCACAAAATGGAGGACAACCACACAACACTGGGAATCATGGCTTAACTAAGTTGACACGTTTCAATCCATGACAGGCACTATTTATAAAGATGTGGCAGAGTGTATGGAAGCACATGGATGGCCTAGACCCCATGGCTAGTAACAGAGGGGCACAGCTTGCTAACTGTGTCTAGGCCTGAAGGGGTGAGGGAGGGAACGACGACTGGAACCTGGTGAGAGAGGGCTATGTGGAGAGGCCGCTGGACAGCAGCTGGGTCTTTATGTTCCTGGGCTGAGCCGGGTGGGGAGCCAGGGGAATAAATACCAGTCGTCCTCTCCTCCTTCCTTCCAGTTTCCTGCCAATGCCTCCCATTGGTGGTACCAACTGGAACCCAACTGGAACCTGAGAGCTAGGGGACCAAAGCGTACAGCCCATAGAGGTCAGCCTCCTGGGCACAGTCAGGGTAAAGAAGGGCAGAGTGGGTGTGGATCTGGATGGGCAATTGGAAGCTATTCAACACTAGCATCATCCTATTGAGAACCAAGGCTGTTATTTCTCTCTGTCTCCCCCATGAGAGGGTCAGCTTCTCCAGGACCCAGCACAGGCTCAGGTAAGTGCTTAATAAATGCTTGTGGAATGAATGGATCATTTCATAAGAAAATAAAGCAATAAGGCCCTCTATGCAATAGCATCAAAATGCTGCAGTCGCAGATAGCAATTGGGGTCACAGGACATGGGCCTGTGGTGATGCCACGGCAGCCTTCGGAGTCGCTGGACACAAAGCAGTAGCTCTGCGCCAGGCACCGTGGTTAGTGCTTTAGAGAACGATCACTTTTACTCTCACCACAAGCCACGGAGGTAGCTGACCCTGCCATTCACATTTTAACAAATGGGGAAACAGGCTTGAGAAGTTATGTAACTTGCCAGAGGTGCCATGATCAGTGAGCACATCTACAACATGATGCAGTGGGACTAAGATGGGGTGGAGCGGTGTGATGGAAGGAATATGGCCCTTTGGAGACTTTATAAGCTCGGTCTCCTTACCTGTAAGATTGTCAGGACCTTGCCCACTGCATCAAGTAGTTGAACAATTGAATGGAATAAACCAGGTTCCTGGAGCAGGGCATAGCATGAGTGCCCAGCCTCTTGTAGTCGTTGAGAGGCTGTGATCCTTCTCGTGAAGACAGAAAGCCCCTAATGCCCATTCTGCTGCCCCCAGCTACCCAACAGCTTCCTCCTGGGTTAAGAACTAATGCCCCCTGGGTGTGCACTTCCTGTTGCAGGCTCAGAGGGTCCCCAATTGGATCATGCTCCCACAGCCCTCATGGTCCCCCCACTCAGCTCTCTCTGTCACCAAAGCATTGGATGTGATGATTGGAAGGGGAAACTTCAAAGGCTCAGAACAGGAAGGGACTTGCCTGAGATGATCTAAAGAGAAAATTCCCTCCTTGCAATTCCTCCCTCACTGAGGGTCTGGGTCTTTAACTTGGAATAAATCTTTCCGGCTCTTTAGCAGCAGTTACAGTGGTAGCCTACTGGGGTAGGCTGCTGCGGGAAAAGGGAAGTGTGTCTGTGGTTTGGGCTGGCAGATAGCACTGGCTTGGACAGAATTAGAAACTTGTTGTGAGGCCTGGGAAGACTATATTTAGCTGAGAGTGTGTTTGCTCTCCTGAGGGCAAAGTCTTCCAGGCCTCCCCAGGACTGGGAGACTGGAGCCTCCATACTTGGCCCAGGAGCCAGAGCTGTGCTCTCTCTTCTCTGTTCCAGAGAGCCCTGAAACAGCAGTGAAACTCACCTCTCAGTGTCGCCCTGGGCCTCAAATCGCACGATCCCCTGCCCTTGAGGCCAGTTTTGCCTGACCCCCCTCAGCCCACAGGTCTTTAGCTTTAGGCATAGCCTAGGAGGCACTCTGGGGACCTAAAAAGGGCCCAGGCTGGGCTAGAAGACCAGCTCCATCAGTCACTAATCAGACCAGTTACTTAACTCCCTGTGACCTTGCTTTCTCACCTGTAATGAGGATAATAATAGCCGCCTGCGGGTAGGGGTGTGGATTCAGTGACATAATGCAAACAAGTAGTAAAGGCTCATCAAAGAGTCCCTTCCTCCCCCTGCTCAGCCTCAGGCAGAGTGGGAGGAGTCTGGGATGGTTTGAGGCTCTTTCTTGTGTGACTCAAAACATTTCACTGGATTAAAAAGTTCAAATATGAATTCAAACTCTTTATACAAGGATATATAAAGGGGGGAAAATCTCTTCTCCCTCTTCTGCAGTTTCACGCCTAGATAACCAATGTTCACAGCCTTCCACCCTTCCGCACTGTTGTCTATTCTCCTACGAACACAAATACATGTAGGATTTTTTTCTTTAAACAGATTGGGATTTTACTAAAGGTGTTTCTCCATAGCCTCCTTTTTCATTTCACTGTAACTCATAGACAATCATCTAGGTAAATACATAATAGATCTAACTCATTCCTTTTAATAGCTGCATAGGATTCCAGGTAATATACGAACCATAATTTTCCAGCCGTTTCCCTTTAATGGACAATTTTTTTTTTTGGTCACTACAAACAATGCTACAAGGAAGATCCTTGCACAAATACTCTCCTGAAATTGTGCTTTAATTTCTATGGTGTCCCATCCATTCCCATCTCACTGCCGTCTAGTCGATTTGACTCACAGCGACCCTACAGAACAGGGTATAACTGCCCCATAGGGTTTTCAAGGCTATAATCTTTACGGAAGCAGACTGCCACATCTTTCTCCCGCAGAGCGGCTGGGGGGTTCAAACTGCTCACCTTTCGGTTGGCAGCCCAGCGCTTTAACCACCGTGCCACCAGGGTTTCTTTCCCTGGGGTATTTTACCCAAAGTACAATTACTGGGTCAAAGGTAATTGCACAGATCACACTTTAACAATTACTGAGAGGTTACTTTCCCCAGACATCTGAGTTTCTCGGACATTGCTCCGGAAACGCTCACGTTTCAAGCTCCAAGGAGTAGATAGCCAGCGACGCCTCCCGCTGAGAGAACCAGTTGCTAGCAGCATCCCCAGAGCTAAATGGTTTAGTGGGGGAGCGCTAAACGGCAGGAGGAGGAGGGAAGAGGCCTGGAGTCTAGTGTGACCCTCAGCAAGTGACCGTCCCTCCTAGGGACTCGGTTTCCTTCTGCGTAGAGTGATTCTGCCCGGGCCTAGAGTTGGTGCCCTCAAATCTCTGCCTTAATTTCATGGCCTGTTTGGCTCCCTCAGGCCCGTAGGCTGCGTTGCAGCCCCGCTCTCTTTCATTATCTTTCCCTCGCATCGTCCCAGCTTTTCTTCGAGAGGAGCTGGCTCAATAATGCCAGGAAAGATGAAGCAGCCACCATAATTAACCGCTCCCCCGAGATCGGTCTTCTATTACTCCTGCCGGGTTTTGGCTCGCTCCCTCTCTTTCGGTTCGGCTATCGATTGCTCCTGCCTGAACCTAGCAGATAGCCGAGGAGCGCGCCAGTTCGGCCCATCCTTTGCTTTTGCCTGGCTCCGCTCTCCCCGAGGGACTGTGGTGTAAGCATAGCGATCCCCGGCTCGACCAGCAACTTATGCCCCTTTTACCTGTCGTTTCCGGTTCCGCTAGCAGCTAGTCGTGTTCAGTCTGAGGTGCTGGTCATGGCAGGGAGCCGGCTGGAAACCGTGGGGAGCATCTTCTCGCGGTGAGTGCTGGAAGCCGGGGGTTCTCAGCAGGTCGCGCTCTTCCTTGGGTGGATCTGAGCCGGTGAGGTATTCTCCAGGGTGCGGGCGTGTGAACCAGGTGAGACTCTTTCTCGTGCTCTTTCCTGGCTCCGGATGATTGTGCTTGACGACGTTTCCCCTTGAATTTGTCATGTTAGTAATTGCACACCTTCCTCGAGTGCAGGCTTCCAGGAAGAAGGGAGGAAGAGGCTGATGGGCCCGACTGGACTGACCTTGCATTTTCCGTGCCGGAATGGGAGGGCGGGGTTGGGGAGGGACTCATATGAGGAGGAGATATGAGGACTTCACTGATGCAGAGCTTTTGGCAGGCTGTTGTAACTGACTGACCTTCGTTCTTTCCCCTTCCTTAAGGACTCGGGACCTTATTCGGGCTGGGGTGTTGAAGGAAAAGCCTCTCTGGTTTGACATATATAACGCCTTTCCCCCGCTGAGGGAGCCAGTCTACCAAAGGACCCGCTTGCGGTATGGTAAAGCCAAAGCCGAAATCCAGGACATCTTCTACCACGAGGACCGGATTAGAGTGTGAGTTAGCCCAGCCCAAGAGGTGGACAGGAAGCAGCTGAGCTTCAGAAGAAAAGGTTTAGTTAGCACTCTGGTAACTTAAATAAGGAGATGAGTCAGGGGCTTGCCGGGTGGAGGAGGTTTTATATATGTAAATCAGACCCCATGATGAGGGAAACAGAAGTTCTCAGAAGAGAAATCTGGAGCTTTGCCAGCTGACAGAGGCAGTTGCAATTATGGTTGCCAGTTTTTAAGCATCTGCTTTGTGCCTGGCACTGTCCTTAGCCTTTTACAAACATTATCCCATTTAGGCTACCCCTGCAGGGTAGGTAGATTTGTCTCCAGAGGGCCATGAGGCTCAGGGAGGTTAACTAACTTCCACTGGTTGCACAGGAGGGTGGCCGACCTGGAAGTCACATCTCTGACTCCAAGCTCATGCTTGGTCCATCTAGATTGCCTTCTCCAGGAGTGGAGATAGGAACATGGTCTATGGAGCCATTAGATTGGACCTTTGATGCCACTTCAGAGAGCATGCTTACAAGTCCAAGGGATTTAAAAATTATCATCACTAGGAATTTGAGGGGAAGTACTCACTTTTTAAAAATTTCTTTAGCGTATCTTATGTAGCATTTGTTTTCTTTTTTCATGAAAGTTATACATGATAATTGTAGACAGTTTAGAAACAAAGGAAAGCATAAACAAGAAAGCACAAATTACCCATAATAGTTTGAAGTCAGGTTCTGCTATTTACCAGCTGTGTGATATTGGGCAATTAACCCCTGTAAGCTTCAGTTTCCACACAGTCAAATATAACAATAATAGTACTTACTTCCTGGGACTGTAAAGGTTTCCAGTGCTTGGCGCAATGTAAGCCTTCGATAAATGTTAACCATCATTTTTATTGTAAGCACTACCACAGACCAGGCACTCTCATATTCATCCTTGTAACCTCAGTGCCTAGCCCAGTGTGTAGCATGAAAGCTGCTAATTAATTGTCTCTTGAATGAAGAAATTAATTAAGTAGTGAGCGGATGAACCATGAGGCTAGTAGAGGGAGAAATGAGAGAAAATTTCTGGGAGAGGAGGAATGGAGGGCCAGGATGGGGGCTGTTAGGAGAATGGCCATCAGAGTTTTATTAGCTCCCTCAACAGCTTCTGGAACAATGGATTGGTTTCCACACTTCTTTGGCCATGTTTAATCTCCCTTTCCACATATCTGTGGATCCAAGTATCTCAGTTCCAAGTAGGTGGTAAATCACTCATTCACAATTTTCTGAAAAAGCCCTTTCCTTCAAATACCGATGCCAGTTATTTGTTAGTATCTGAAATGTGTACAGTTCCTTTTCTCCTAAGTGTTAACACCAGGGATTGTTTCTGTTTGAAGTTAATGCACATCCCTTACACTTGCCACTATTCCCTGATGCAAGAAAATAGGTTTATAAAGTCATCATATTCTCCATTGAGTTCCAGACGCCTTTTATTTGAGGGATCTTTTTTCTTCATAACATTCGTTTGGGGTAGGAGAAGACAAGTACAGTTATGCACCACGTAACATCTAGTCAGGCAGCGTCCAACTGCATTTACGTCTGTGGTCCCGTTAGTTCAGAAATCCCAATCGGAAAATGGGATGTAGCACATATAACTGGACATAGCCACAAGGCAGCCACCACCTTTGTGCCTTGGACCAGCTCGTACTTGGGGAACCTACCTTGGGCTTGCTCCATACCCCTAGACCTCATCCTCAGCAAACTGGACCTGCAGGGCTGTCTGGACCTCCAAATGGCCTTATGCCTTCCTGAGCACCCCAGGTCCTTACCCAAAGGCCCAGTCCCTGGGCTCCACCAGCTCAGCACATGCCCTCGCTGGTGTCCTCGCTCCCTCCTAGATGCAGCCACCAACCTGGGCTTAGACAGCAGCAACCAGAACCCCAGGCCCTATCTAACTGTCCCTTTATAAGGACCACTTCCATTGTCTCAAAGTTGCCGTAAGAAAATAACATGGTGTTTGCACAACTTCCAAATCACATAATGTCCTGTTTCACAGAACTTATCGTGGACGTTAAGAGATGCGTGACTGTATGTTTTTGCTCTACTTGGAAATTTTACTTTGGGGCATTAAATACTTCTTCACCACCTTTCTGCTCAGGTCTTCTGCATGCACTCGGTCAGTATGCTTTTGAGGTTCACTTACACATTAAAACCAGCTGTGTTTCTGCTATGTGGATGACAGTGGAGCTAGGTGATAGGTTATTGAAGAATGGTATATTTTACTGCTGCGTGTTTCTGGTTAAATATTACTATTTGTACTATTACCCACCACTGTTGAGTTGATTCTGACTCATTAGCGACCCTATAGGATAGGGTAGAACTGCCCCATCGGGTTTCCAAGGCTGTAATCTGTACAGAAGCGGACTAGCACATCCTTCCCCCACAGAGTGGCTGGGGGGTTCAAACTGCCGACCTTTTGGTTAGCAGCCAAACACTCAACCAGTGTGCCACCAGGGCTCTCAATTGGTGCTATTAATGCCAAAATAATAACATCTTGTATTTGTGAAGTTCTTTGAAACTTTTTTGGAGGGGGGGGGTTGATATTTTTAAGAACTTTTACCAAAATAAGTTCCACATAGATCAAAGCCTAAATGTAAAAAATGAAATCATAGAAGTATTAGAAGAAAACATGGGAGAATTTGAAAAATAACCTGAGAGATAAAGGCCTTTCTAAGCATTACATAAAACCTAGAAGCCATAAAAGAGAGGATTGAAGTTTTCTATATGAAAAAGTACCATAAGCAAAATTAAAAGACAGCCAACAAACTGGGAACAAATTTTGCAACATGTATGATAAAGGACCAATTGCCAATTTTACTGCTCTGAAATTTGCTTATAAATCAATAGAAAAAGATGACCAAATAGAAAAATGGACGAAAAACATGAGCATTCAGCTAGTTCACAGAAAAGGAAATTCAGTTCGTTTCTAAACATGAAAAGCTGTTCACCCTCTTTTATAATAACAATACAAATTAAAACTATAATGAATTATTTCATCTATCAAATTGATAAAGATTAAAAATGTGGAAATACAATGTTGGTGAGAGTATGGGGACATAGGCTCTAGCGTACACTACTGATGGGAGGGTAAATTGGTACACCTGCTTTGGAAAGCAGTTTGGCAACTTGGAAAGGCAAATTACAAATGCATATACCTTTTGAGCCAGTAAAACCACTTTTAGAAATTTATTCCACAGACTTACTTGCATAGTTGCACGAAAAGTATACCTGTTGCCATCAAGTCTATTCCGACTCATAGCGACCCTCTAGGACAGAGTAGAACTGCCCCATAGAGTTTCCAAGGAGCAGCTGGTGGATTCAAACTGCCTACTTTTTGGTTAGCAGCAGAGCTCTTAACCACTGTGCCACTGGGGCGCCACTGAAAAGTATAGACGGGTATTTGTTGCAGCATTGTCGAGAGTAACAGAGGGCTGGAAACAATCTCTTTGTACTGATTTCAAGTGATCTCTTAAGAAATATTAGAAAGACAAAATGTGGAACAGTATAGGATACTATCTTTCCAGTTAAAAAATGTGACTGGGGACAGAGAGTGATATATGCTTGTATATTGCTACACTATTTCTGGATAGATAACAGAAACTGGTTAGCGGTTGCTTCTCGGAAGGGAAACTGGGGGGTTGGGGTGCAGAGGTGGGAGAGAATCTTACTTTTCGCTGGACACCCTTTTGTACCATTTGATGTACTTACCATGTGTGTGCATTACTTATTAAGAGAAAAGCTGACAGGCTTAGGATATGTAGGTCATACTATACTCAAGGGCCAAACAATGATTCCCTTTATGCGGTTCTTGGCCATGACCTATAGTTGTAGATTTATATTGTGGTGCTTGTGTTTTCTAGGAAATTTTATTCAGCCTATGGATCTGGTCAAAAAGCTTTCGATCTGTTCAATCCAAACTTCAAATCTACCTGTCAGCGGTAAGTGATTTTACAAGCCCTGGGTTAGTACTTTTTAAAAAATTTTAAAAAATAATTTAATTATCAATTCGAGTTTTGTTGAAATTCACTTGAGGAGAAAGCTGTCTGTGAGTTGGAATCGACTCAACAGCACACAACAACAATAAGGTAGGAAGATCTGTTAAGGGGATGCTGGCAACGGTGTAGTAGCGTTACTTGACAACTCTGAGTGTATAGAACTAAGATATGCTTGGAATTCCAGGTTTGTGGAGAAGTACATTGAGCTACAGAGACTTGGAGAGACAGATGAAGAGAAGTTATTTGTGGAAACAGGGAAGGCTTTATTGGCAGAAGGAGTCATTTTAAGACAACGAGGAGAAGTGAAGACCGTGAGTATTATTAAAATCATTATTAGGACTAGTTGTCTGTTTGTCAGAGGTTAAAGGAAGGCTTGGCTTTCTTTTCTCAACCTTGGCTCATGTTCTTAAACTCCAGATCCAATACTGTTAGATTGAATTTTAAGGAATATACTGGAATTCTGTGGTAAGGACTGCTACTTGGAACAAGTGAGTGTTTTTAGGGCTTTTAAAATTGTAGTTCTATAGAGATTATTATCATGTTTATTCTTTGTTGTAATTGAATTTGACCTGAGCTATTAAAGTTAATTTTTTTAACTCGGTGACAGAATATGCATAGTCATATGGCTTCAGCCAGTTAATTGAGTGAAAATGGTAACATTTGTGTGACGTACTTATATCTTCTTTTAAGCAACAGGAAGGCAGTGTCCGAGAAATCTGAACATACGAGCCTCAGACCCTAAACTGTGTTGGAAGAAAACCAGCCTCAGAAAGTTCACAGGAGCAGCGTTTGGAGGCGCTGGAAGAACAGTTGAAAGGTCTCTCACCTCCCTGAAGGACTTGTATGCGATGTATACTGACAGCCAAACTGTATTCATTAGATGAATGTTGAACTATTTTTAACAGCTGAACTGTGTAAATGTTTCTTAATCTCTAAGGCATTATGTTTGCCTTCTCTTAGTTCCTATTTCTGGTTGTCATAAAGCTCAGTATTATGGTTTGAAAAAAGCAGTTACGTGAACTTTTATGATAGGATGCTATTAAACAGAGAATTCCCTAGCTGCTTATAAAGTAAATTGACTTTGACGTTGTAAATAACATGGGAAACCTTTATAATAATGTTTGAGTGGGACTCATTCTGAGTAGGTTTGCTTGGATTTTTATGTTACATGTGGGCTGGCTACGTTTGATTCTCTGGTATGTTTCTTTTCTCGATCATCAGACATTTACTTGCACATACGGTCTGGTCCCTTGGCCACCCATTTCTGTCTGCAGATAATTTTTGTACTTTTTTATAGAACTATTGACCAACTTGAGAGGCCCAGCTGACTTGTGGTTTGTGGTAAGAAGAAGGACCTATCATTGGTGATGGACAAAGGCCAAAACTACAACTTTAATCTCATGGATTGATTTTGCTGGAGACAGTTTAACATAGGCCCACACTTAGGCTGCTTAGTAAATATTTGTTGCATGAATGCATGAATCATTAAATCCAGCTAAAGACTGAATTCAGGTGGCATTTTTGTAGGTAATTTGATTGCCAAGTGGGGAGGCATCTACTTTAGATGACACTCTCCACCCAGCACCCACCTGCCTCCCTGGTGCTGAGGTGTACTTCAAGTCCTTACCAACTGCCCTGCCTTCCTCAATTCTGTATCTTTTACTGAGTAAATGATATACTCTTCTGAGGTTGTAGCTTTTGTATTTGTGACCAAGCCAATGATTTTCAGCTACTAGTAATAAATTGCTTCAGAAACTCCTTATTTTAAAAGCCTTGTAGCTTTTCTGAGCTATTCTTTATTTACAGTATTCTCTCTGTCCTGGTGGACTGGAGGGGGAGGGTCCCGTCTCACAGCCTCCTCATGCAAGATGAATGGATGCTTGTGGTAGAAGCAGTTCTCAGCCATGCTGCTTTCGTCCTGCGTTTATCACTGTTTTAAAATTCCCCTTGTTTAAGGAAGTAAATTTCATGCATTCAAAAACATTAGCCAATGATACAGTGCCAAAGACCGGCCCGAGCTTGGAAAGAAGACCTAACAAGGTGGAGGAGATGATTTCTGTTCTCAGAGGAATGCTTGAAAGTCGCTATGCTTCTGAGTTTTTTAAAGGCAGTTTCTTTACCACAACGATGAAGACTTCTTTAAAAAAGTTATCGTGGCATGAGTCTTAAAAAAAAATTGCATACGCACATGGTTTGAAATTTAAAGGTGAAAAGTCAATCCCCCTTCCACCATTTTCCTCCCCCAAGGCCACCACCATTTCCTTGTGTGGCTTTCCCGAGATATGGGCATATACATGGGGATGCTATGCGTTCTGTTCTGTACCTTGTTTTTCCAGTTAGCCTGTATAGATGCATAATGATTTAACCAATGCCGATTGATGACAGTGTTGTTCCTGTTTAAAAAAAATACAAAAACCCACTGCCGTCGAGTTGATTCCAACTTATAGCGACCCTATAGGGTTTTCAAGGCTGTAAATCTTTATGGAAGCAGACTGCCACATCTTTCTCCTTCAGAGTGGCTGGTGGGTTCAAATTGCCGACCTTATGGTTCGCAGCGAAGCGCTTTAACCACTGTGCCATCAGGGCTCCTTCCTATGTTTTACTGTGCTGAAAATGGGCCAGTATAGCTGTTGGATGTGTTCTTAGACGTGGGATCGCTGGATCAAGGAATAGCTCATCTTAAATTTTGATACATGGTGTCATATTATCCTCCATAGAAGTTGCGCTAAGTTACGCTCCCCCCACCGGCAACATATGAGAATTCCAGTTTCCTCACAGTGTACACATCAGTGCGTTCTGATCCCATGAGGAAGGCCTAAGCCTGGTGGAAAGGAGAGAGAGCATCCCTAGAGCAGCCTCTGCACAGAGAGGAAGAAGCTGCTGTCACTTACTGGCTTCTTTAGGTTGAATCTCAGTGATCAAAACGGGAAAATGTAAAGCTAATTTGAGGAATTCAGAACTTTTCCCACAGCCAATTCCCTACAGTGTTCTTGGAGAGAATGGCCCTTATTCTTGCCTCTAGGGAGCTTAAAATCTAGTTGGGAAGATAAGAGTGACTTGAAAACAATAAGCTGAGCGGGAATCCTTTTAAATTAAGAAACTACAGGAGGCTCAGGGGGAGCGAGATCAGCACTGGACTAGTCTGGGAATGCTGCATGGAGAGCCTTGAGGGCCCGGTGGCATTGTAGTGTGCCTGCTGCTGTTTCTGCCAGGAGTCCCCTCCCCACCACCATGGGTGTTTAAAAATCGCACCTTCACTGCCCTTTCAAATGATTTCTCTGCTTAGAAACCTGACCCAATGTTCAAATCAAGTATCAAGTCCCGTATTGAGGCCTCTTCTCAGATTGCACTCATAAGTCACCTTACTGCAGTTTCTATGCCTTGTCTGTTGTTTGTACCCATTGTGGCTGAGTTGATTCTGATTCACAGTGACACGGTGCGTTACAGAGTAGAACTCCATAGGGTTTACTTGGCTGTTGTTTGTATCCCTGCCTTGTTTATTGTGGCCTTACATTAAGTGGTAATTTCCCTGTTAAGTAACTTTCTCTACTAGGAATGCAAAGGAAGGTAGCAATTCTTATTCTACTTTGTATCCACTGAAGCACTGACAGTGCCTTTCAGGAAGTAGACCCTCCATGTGGGTTTGCTGAGGTGAAGAGGAGGCAGGCACTCATCCCAGTTACAGTGAAGTTTGCACGAGACAAGTCCAAAGATCTGGGTTCTCTTTCTAGTTTTGACTGGTGTGGTCTTGTACCTGCCACAGTCTCTCAGCCTGTGACATAGGGATAATGTTTGCCTGTTTGACTTCCAGTTAATATTGTGAGGATTAATTGAATGAATGCAAAGCTCATTTGTCATATATGTGGCAGGTGCATTTATTACGATTTCGAGGAGTTGTGGAAAATAAGTTTGAGAAGCTGGGTGGGATCAGATCGTGGTGGCCTTGAAAACTACAGAGGGGAGGTGTGATGGTTAAGGGTGTGTGTCAGCTTGGCTGGGCCCCGATTCTCAGTGGTTTGACAGTCTATGATGTGATCACTTCCATGAGGAGATGTGATATAATATGATCACCTCCATGATGGGATCTGCTGTGAGTAGCGAGTCAGCTGAAAGGGAGTTTCCTTGGGCATGTGGCCTGCATCGAATATAAGTGGATATTCTGGCGAGACTCGTGGGCTTTTGCTCGCTCTGGGTCCTGCAGCTGGCTCCTGTTCATCTGACCTCTGGTTTTTGGGACTTGAGCTAGCAGCTTACCTGGTGTCTTGCCTGCTGATCTTTGGATTTGTCAATCTTTGCAGCCTGTGAGCAAGAGCCCTGCTGTCTTATCTACCGATCTTGGGTTCACCAGCCCCTGCGGCTGTGTGAATCAAGAGAAGGCTCTGTCCTGACCCATGTACTTGGAATGTTCCAGCCTCTACAACCATGTGAGCCAGTTCCTTGATATAAATCTCTCTCTATATATATTTATACGCTTTACTGGTTTTGCTTCTGTAGAGAACCCAGCCTAGGATACTTGGTACTGAGGGTGGTTCTAGAGAAACAAAATTCTAAGGATGAGTTTTCTAAATTGGTTCTCAAGTCTGGTTAGTTTTAAAAATATTGATGACTCTGCTTCCAGCAGTAAAGAAGGCACTGCTAATCCATGGCATGAAGTGGCAATACAAATATGCAAAATATCACCAGTATATTAGGTATTGGTGAAAGACGAGGCTCTGGGTGATTGCATGTATGATACCTTTCTACAATTCTGTCACAATGAGAAGTACAAGGAAGCTGGGTGGTTGGTCCAACTTTCGCTAGACAAACTGGTGAAAAAAAGAGGTGCACTCAGGGCTTCAGAGTCAAAGCTCAAGTGCCACATAAATGACCTCAAAGTTTCCACTTGTGCCTTGAAAGAAAGCCTGATTTCTTGTAGTAACAGAGCTGATATTGCCGAAAACCAAACCCAGAGTCTTATTGTAAGGATGGCTGAATTACAACGCCAACTCAATAGCCAACCCCTAGAGGTGTCTGAAGTTAAAGTGAGGGTGTTGATTGGGAAGAAATGGGATCCTGAAACTTGGGATGACGACCTCATACCATCAAGAAAGTAGTGCCAGGAGAAGAGCGCGTCCTTTGGGCCCAGGGTCCCTGCGCTGAGAAGCTTCTAGTCCAGGAGAAGATTGATGACAAGGACCTTCCTTCAGAGCCAACAGAGAGAGAAAGCCCCCTGGAGCTGATTCCCTGAATTTGGACTTCTAGCCTACTGGACTGTGAGACCATACACTTCTGTTTGTTGAAGAAATTTGTTGTGAAATTTCTGTAGCACTAGATAACTAAGACAGGAGTCGAGCTGGATATGGAAAAGTTTTTGAGCAGGGAAGGCACATGGTGAAAGCAGCATCAGATCTAAGGAAGATTAACTGTAAGTGTTTTAAAGAGTGGGTTAGGGGAGTGGGCAAGGAGGGAGGTAAGAGGAAGCAGATGATTCCAAAATTACAAACCTGAGTGACCAGAAGAAGAGTAGCATCGCTAACAAAGACGACAAAGTGGGGACAAGGAACTGATGCTCTTAGGGAAGAAGACTTTTATTTCTCAACATGCAACATTCACGTGGCAGAGCTATGGGATGAGTGTCTGGGAGAGAGAAAATCCCTAGCATGGGGGTACGATTTGGAGTCAGGAGAATGAACAATTCAAGGGAGAGTAGAGAGACCCAGAATGTCAGGAGCTGGGCTTGGTGAATGCTCTCAGTTAAAGGACAGGAGGAGGGAGAAAGCCAGCAGAAGGACCTAAAGTCCCACATCTTCCACCATCTAAATAACAAGGCTTGTGTAAGTGGTCCTGTTTTCATCTGATATTACAGCTTTCTTCCTTTGCTTTTGTTGGGTAAACCCCAATCTTTGATTGCTTATTCTTAAAAGGCAGGCCCAATTCTCTTTATAATCTTGTATTGAGAACAGTGTCAAGTTCTCTGTAATGAAAATGGGATTGCAGAATAACCTGTGCCCCCAGAAGACT